ACCCAACCCCATCCATCTAGCTACCTGCCATATCGATCCGAACGTCTACCGACCTATCCGTCGACGCCTACCTCCGTGCGTGCTGTCTGCCTGATCGCCCATCGACTTGACTCTCTACCTGCCTGCCTGCATACCTAAATACCTGCTTCACTACACATCTCTCCGACTGCCTACTAATTCACATGCCCGCTTGTCTATATACGTGCATAGCTGCCCGTTCACCTGCCTAACTAGCCATCCACTTGTACGCCAACCTGCCTGCACACCTGAATACTTAATTTCCTATCGAATTACTTTGCGAGTTCCCATCTACAATCAATCGACGGCCTACCTGCCTGGTGATTGGTGCTATCGCGACTTAGTCAAGCTCACATTCCAATTTAAATGGGTGGGGGGGGTGGGCCGCTTTCATTTGTTTAACAATCATCTGGCGCGTGCGGCGTGTAACAGACTTAGAGTTCATTTGTTTACTGGGACAGAGCCAGAAGATCGGTGGCCGTGGCAAGGCGAACCATTTCGAGAGTAAACAACGATTCGGTGAATTCAGCTCAAGCGAGCCAATTGAGGAAAGTCCACATTCCTATGGCGGGGCAGGGGACGAGGGGGGGAGGGGGTGGTGAGTTCCCCCGTGGTACAACTAACCATAAAGTGGTACTCATTTCAGCAAGGCCGCAAGGAGGTTGTTGGTCAAACCCTACCACCACCACCACCGCCACCGCCCTACCCACGGGGCATTTGAACTCGGATCTTCCCCATTGCCTGAGAGCCGCCCACTCGCTCGCTCGCTCGCCTGGAGGGCTCTGGGAGAGCCCTCGGGGCTCCAGGAGCCGCGTGTGTGCGCCCCCAGGGCCTCGCGCGGTCAGCGACATCAATCTCGCCGTCCGCTTTTATTGACTTAGGAGGCGGAAGTGATTGTAGTTTAATATCCATTTCCTACAGCCCCGGCGCCTTGCGCGGGTTGAAGAATATGGGATGATATTATGGGGGCTATATAGTGTGGCGTGTGGCGGGGAGTGTGGAGTGTGTGTGCGTGTGTGGGTGTTGGGGAGCGGTAGTGTAGCAGTTAG